GAAGGCTGGCCTGGCAACCGTGGTGACCTGGGCCTCCACAGAGAGCGAGGCACCCAGAATCACCTCCCGCACCAGGCTGGGAGCCTGATTCCCAATCCAACCCCCCCCCCCCCAGTCAGGTACAGGACCCTCTGTCTTTGTTGGATTTAATTTCAGCTGGCTCTGCTGTAACCAACCCAGCCACGGTCTCTAGTGCCCTGTCCAGAATACCTGGGGCAGAGTCTGGGGCCCATCAACAGATAGGGCTGGCTGTCGTCAGTGTACTGGTGACAGCTCCTCCCACCCACCCCAGCCCCCTGGACCAGCTGGGTGAGGGTGGGTGTGTAGATGTCGAGCAGCACTGGGGAGAGGATCGCCCCCTGCGGCACCCCGCATTCAAGCACCAACCTCTGTCCCTGACCACAGAGAACGGAAGGAAACCATTGTAAGGCAGCCCCCTGTACTCCTACATCGGCGAGGCAGACGGTCATGAGATCGTGATCAACCACATTGAAGGTTGCCGTTGAGTCAAGAAGCAACAGCAGCACTGACCCACCTCAATCCCGATGTCTTCGGAGGTCATCTGTGAGGGCGACCAATCCCGTCTCTGGGCCACGGCCAGCGTGGAAACCGGACCGGGATGGATCCAAGATGGATGCGTCACCCAAGAAAGCCCGAAGCTGCTCAGCCGCCACGCTCCCAGCTGCCTGGTTCAGGGACTGGAGGTTCAGCACAGGGCGGTAGTTGGCTGGGACCACAGGGCCCACTGATGTTTTTTAGGAGCGGATGTGCAGATGCACCATGGCCTCCTTTGGTCCCACTGGGAAAGTCCTAGTTAAAAGGGACACGCTGATGATCTCATCCAGGAGTGCCCAGACACCATCCCCGCAGGCCTTCACCCGCCAGGATGGGCACGGGTCAAGGAGGCAAGTGGTGGACTTTACAGCTGCCAGGATCTTGTCAACATCCTCCCAGGAGAGTCAGCTAAAATAGTCCAAAACGGGACCTGAAGATGGACAAGGGGCTTCCAGTTCCCTGACTGTATCAGCTGTGGACGGGAGGTCCTGGCCGGAGCAACATAACTTTAGTAGGAGCTTTTGAGTAGGAGCCGCCGCCACCACTATTCCATCACCGCTTCCTCCATCACCGCACTTTTACCACTGCTTGAGCGGGTATCATCGGGGGTGCGAGACGTTCCTAGTGGATGACAGTGCTGCCGGGACGTATATTGTTGTTGTTCTGGTACCCATAACTCCAGAACCCCATCTTGGAATTCACAATCTAAGTGACCTTTGGAGCACCGATATTTCAGTGAATCGTATTATACTGTATTATTTACACTTCCGCCCTGAGCCTTTGGGGAGGGTGGGATATAAATCCAAAAATAAATAAATAAATCTATGAAATAGCTTGAAAATGCCTTGCAGCCAGTCACCAATTCTCTACTGTTTTGTTTGCCTTGCGGCCACATAGTTAAAAATCAAATCGTTCTAAGCAATTGGGATGGGTGTGAGCTCACAGATGCAACTCTTTCTTTGCAGCCTTCTCTGCCACCTCGTAGGCCTTCATAAATGCCCTGTGGATAGGAAAGCACTCCAGAGAGTTATCATCACAGCCCAGAAGATTATTGGCTGCCCTCTCCCATTCCTGGAGGAATTGTATAGTTCTCGATGCTTGAAAAAAGCAAAGAACATTCTGCAGGATTTGTCACACCCTGAACACTCCCTGTTTGAACTGCTGCCTTTGGGTAGAAGATATAGGACAATTAAAACAAGGACAAACATTAAAAATAGTTTTTATTTGAGAGCTATTATTGCTTTAAATGCTGTATGAAATTGGAATTTGGGTGACATTGGTGGTTTAAGTTGCAATGTGAACCTTAAGGGAGTTATGGGATGGTTGTGAATGGTTGTGTGAGTGTATATGAGTATGGTTGTAGATCACCGAATGATTGCACCTTTAATTTCGTTGTACTATGTACAATGACAATAAAGTATATTATTATATTATTATTATTATCTTGCCACTTCACCACGAGTGCGCCACCACCCTCACTCTAGCCATCCTAGCTCTAACTTCATCCTCTGTAGCTCCGGGGTATACTACGGGGCCAGTTTGCTTTGAGGGCGAAGAGGGCGCCAATCATCCACCAGCACTTCCAATGAACCACCGGGGGGGGGGGGGGGGATCAGATCCTGCAGAGAATCCTGAAGCTGACTAGGGTCCATTAAGCTCTGTGGGTGAGCATCAATGCGCTCGCTGCCTAAACAGGGAGGGTTTGGTGTGCTCAGCCAGACCTTAAGGGCAAAGCGGTCGGACCGTGGTACTGCATCAGCAGTTTCCAGATCCACATTTATCCCCACCCCAAAAATCAGGTCCAGTGTGTGGCCCACTTGATGCGTGGGAGTCAATATAAATTGGGAGAGTCTGAAAGCCTCCACGGACGACACTGGGTCCCTGACTTGAGAGGATGCCGCATCATCCACGTGAACGTTGACCTCCTCCCGGCCTGGGGTACTCCAGTGCCCGGTGTGATAACTGACGAAAGGACAAGCAGGCCATTGTCTTCGGTTTGGTTTGTTCCCCCAGGCTGAAATATTTTTTTTTTGGGGGGGGGGAATAAGGATGCTGTCTGGGGAACAATTTTTGCTTGGGGAACTTGAACAGATGCTATTCCAGCAGTGTAGGTGTGTGCGCCGTGTTTGTCTGCGGCAGCAAAAATAGCCCGGAGCCCAGGGGCACTTTGCCAAGCAACAAATTTTTATTCCGTCATCAGCTCCCTCGGACTCGGAGCCCGCTCGGCCATTGCACGTGACAAAATGGGCTGCAGTCCACGGAAGTTTACGCTGGAATAAATTTCAGTACTCTTCGAAGTGTCACCAGATTCTGGAACAGATGTGGGCTTGACCGTTCACTGGTTTTGCTTGTTAAGCATAAAGGGAAATGTCTGTGCCCAGCCAGGAAGGAGCACGCTTAAATCTTGAACTGAGCAGGCGGGCCTGACAAAAGACAAAGAAATGCCTGTTGGTGTTTGACTTTAATGCTCGAATTTGAGTATTTTAAGAACAACGTTTGGGTCCAGGGGCACCTTGAAGACCAACAAAGTTTAATTCCGGGTATAAGCTTTCATGTGCAAGTGCACACGAAAACTTATACTTTGAAATAAACTTTGTTGGTCTTCAAGGTGCCCAGTCTGGACTCAAACTTTCTTCTGTTGCTTCAGACCAACACAGCTACTCACTTGAGTTACTCTGCTTAGTTAAATTCTCAGCACGGGCATTCTGATCCAGATCAGCGTGGTATGCAAGCGGCTTGCTCTAAGGCATTCCGAGATGGGCATTCACAAAGGTGCCCTTGTTCTTGGGGCTTCAGGGCTCCCCAGGTTATCCTGGCTTCAAGCAAAACTGTGAATTCGCTCGACTACAACTCACTGTCAGAATACATTAATCTGAGCATAATCTAGAGCAAGCCGCATTTCAGAGTGATACGGCGCCCTGTCAGCACTCATCTCGGACTCAAATATTTCACTCTTCGTTTTACTTTGGTTTCAAGCATTGGCACAGATTTGCTCTTTGGGCCATTTAGAAAAGACTGTTCTTGGTGGATTCTCTTTGCTGGCTGATTACAAAATCACAAGGATAAAATGAAACCGAGGTTAGTAGACGGAGAAACCAATGGATAGGTAGCTCTGTGCTGTGCAATTGTTATAGTCCCCGTCACTTTGCCAAGGAAAGATCCCAGATTAGCACAGTTTGGTTCCTAAAGATGTGTGCACTTCTCAATAGCAGGCTGAATAAGAGCATCAAACCACTGTTTGAACTCTTAACTCATGTAGTTTTTAAAAAAAAATCAATTTATATTTCCGTCAAACAGACAGAAGCTTGAATGGAGAGGATGCCATGGCCGTGCGAGTTCTGTCAGGCGCCATCTTGGAGGCATTTCCCCCTCGCCATGTGTGGGAAAGAAAGGCTGCGTCGTAGGCGGGGCCTGCCATCCTCCCTGCTTAGGCATCCTTTTGTGAAGAATTAGTTTGGGGCGTGTGTGTTGCTTGAGGAATCGAGGCGCCCCTTCCGTGTGGCCTTGTCCAGACGACTGCTGAGTGGAGTCCTGGAGGGAGCCGTGTGGCCCTCATCACAGCTGCCGGCCCCCCCCCGTGGCCCGGCCTGGCCCAGCTTCTCTCCTTGCTGCCTGCCTTGGGCTCCGTCAGGAGCCTCTGGCATCGACCAGGGCCCGGGCCTTTTCCCTCGTGGCTCCGGCTCTGCAGGAGGGGCTCCCTGAAGAGGTGGGTGGGGGGACTCCTTGGAGGTCTTTGGGAGGCGCTGCAGGGCCTGCCTTCTTGCCAGGCTTTGGGGGGGCGTTGGAATGACAGGCATCTTTTAAGGGGGGAGATGTGAGGTTTGCTGTTTTATTTTTTGTTTTAACTGTAATTTTTTTTCCTAACTATGACTGCAAGCTGCTTTGAATTACAAGGAAAGGTGAGATATGGATGAAGAAGTAAAAGAGTAGGTTTTTCTCTACCCAGAGGAGTCTCAAAGCCGCTTACAATCGCCTTCCCTTCCTCTCCCCCACAACAGGAACCTTATGAGGTAGGTGGGCCTGAGAGAGTTCAGAGAGAACTGTGACTGGCCCGTGGTCACCCAGCAGGCTTCAGGTGGAAGAGGAGTGGGGAATCGAACCTGGTTCTCCAGATTAGAGGCCTCCATTCTTACCCACTACACCATGCCGGCTCTCCCATTTTAATAAACAAATAAAATGAAGTGCGGCTGCTTCCAGGGAAGCTCTTTGTAGTCATAAGGCAAATCACTTGGACATGAGCGCTGTATAAATCTTGGGGGCGGTCCAGGAAGTGGCCCAGGCTTCCTGAAGTCCATCCATTGCAGCAGCAGCAGATGCAAAGGCACAAGGCACGATGCTTCCCGTCAGGTGCAGATCAGCTTGTTATTCCAGTGACCCCTTTCTTTGTGCTCTCCTTCAAAGGCGTTGGTGCAATGCGTTGAAACCCTGCTCTTCTGTGTCCACAGATTGAGATAAAACTGAAGAAGCCCGAGGCCGTGCGATGGGAGCAACTGGAGAGAGAGGGAGGTTCTCCGAAGCTGAAACATTTCACCCCAGGTCTGTGAGTTCATGCCTGAACATTCATGTCTTGTTAACCCTCGTCTAGCATGCTTGCTGCTGGGATCATATTCACGAAGGCCCCTTATTATCGACTGTTCAGCTGCGGTAGAATCGGATGCCTTCGGGTTGCGCAGGATGCAAATATGCAAGTTTGTTAGATAAGCATATGGAGCAGAATTCCATCAGAGGCTATTAGCCCCAAGGTATAGATAGGAATTCTCAGGCTGGGGCAAGGGATGCTCTGTATTCTTGGTGCTTGGGGGGGGGGGGACAGTGGGGGGGCTCCTGGGGTCCCGGCCCCCCTGCTGGACCCTCGTGTGGCATAGGGCTCCTGGTGTCCCGGCCCCACTGCTGGACCCTCTGATGGCACCTGGTATTTCTGGCCATTGTGTGACCCAGAGTGTTGGACTGGATGGGCCATTGGCCTGATCCAGCATTGGCTTCTCTTATGTTCTTACGATCCCTGGGTTGCGTTTTATGCTCTTTGCTGCTCCCCCCCCCCTTCTCTCATGTAAAAAATCTTAAGAATCTCGGGGCAATAGTAGGTAAAAGGGGAGGAAATCCATGCCTTGAGAAGTGCCCACTGTTTGGGGTGTAGCGCTCAGAGAACATCCGCGTGAACTGTTCAGTGCCTGGTATGGTCTCTGGCTTTGGCCCAGGACTGCCCCTCCATTCATCTACGCCTGGCTATCTGCTTTCATCTCAGTCAGTGTTTTCCACCTCTCGTGCTTCAGCGGTATACTACAAAGCGATTCCGTGATCTGTTTCTGTGTCCAGCTTCTCTAGATCCATTGTCGTCCCGTTTTGCATGGATATGTTTTGGGTCCCAGGATCTAGTGCTGTATACAGAGATGCCTGGGCCCGGCTAGCTCATCCGTGCTTTTGTGCCCCCCCCCCCGGCATCAGCCCTCTTTTTTCCTTAATACTTAATAGGGAGCCAGTGTGGTGTGGTGGTTTAGAGTGGCGGACTCTGATCTGGAGATCCGGGTTCCATGCCGCACTCCTCCTCCGCAGGAGGCCCGCTGGGTGACCGTGGGCCAGTCCTAGTTCCCTCAGAGCTCTCGCAGCCCCACCTCCCTCACGAGATGCCGGTTGTGGGGAGAGGAAGGGAAGGCGATCGCAAACCACTTTGAGACTCTTTAGGGTAGAGGAAAGTGGGGTATAAAAACCCAACTCTCCCTTTTCCTCTTCAATTCTTGATACTGCAGTGTGTCTGTTTTGTCTTGCTAAGCCTGAGACGTTCAGCAACAGTCACTGGACAAAGGAATTATGGCTTGTCTCCGTGGTCTGGCCTGGGATGACTCGTATAGCCATTGATTTTGCCATTTCAGATGCCATGCAATATCCATCCTCCTCTCATTATACAAGGAACTGGGACAAACTGGTGGTTGAGATCAAAGAGGAAGAGAAGAACGAAAAGCTGGAGGGTGATGCTGCTTTAAACAAACTTTTCCAGCAGATCTACTCGGATGGTACTGATGAAGTGAGGCGTGCCATGAACAAATCTTTTGTAAGTTATCAGCCTCGTTCTAACCACTGTTGACTGTGCTTCGGTAAACTTATGGAGTGGACTGGAGACACATATGGAGCAGAGGTCTGTTGGTGGCTATTAGCCACAAGGTATAGATAGGAACTCTCAGTCTGGGGCAAGGGATGCTTTGTCTTCTTGGTGCTTGGGGGGGGGGGAGAACAGTGGGAGGGCTTCTAATGTCTTCCTGGCCCCACTGGTGGACCTCCTGATGGCACCTGGTGTTTTTGGCCTCTGTGTGATACAGAGTGTTGGACTAGATGGGCCATTGGCCTAATCCAGCATTGGCATCTCTTATGTTCTTACGATCCCTGAATTGCGTGTGACATCTAAGCGGGGCCCGAGTCTTCCCCTCTGCTATGCAAAATGTGGAGTCTTTTCTTTCCTCTCTCTCTTGCATCCGGATGGAAGTGAATTCTTAAATTGTTTTTATGCATTTTATATATTGTAACTTATATGCACTTTGTGCTCATGTAAGCCGCCCTGAGCCCGCTTGCAGGAAGGGCGGGGTATAAATGTAATGGAAATAAATAAAATAAATAAATAGCCACAAATTATAGGTAGAACACTCTGTCTGGGGCAGTGATGCTCTGTATTCTTGGTGCTGGGGGGGGGGCTTCTAGTGTCCTGGCCCCACTGGTGGACCTCCTGAGGGCACCTGGTATTTTTGGCCACTGTGTGACACAGAGCGTTGGACTGGATGGGCCATTGTCCTGATTCAACGTGGGTGAGTGATGCTCTGTATTCTTGGTGCTTGGGGGGGGGGGCAACAGTGGGAGGGCTTCTGGAGTTCTGGCCCCACTGGTGGACTTTATTTTATTTATTTATTTATTTTGGGATTTATATCCCGCCCTACCCATACGGCCCAGGGTGTTGAACTAGATGGGCCATTGGCCTGATCCAACACGGCTTTTATGTTTTTAACGTGTTGTGACTGCAAATCTGTTTCACAAAATGGAGTTCTGTTCTTGGTTCTTTCGATCTGACTCTATAGTGGCTAGAATAACCTGCTTCAGAGTCCCTGTTTCTAAATGCAATTTTAATATCCATTCCCTTCTTGTGGGAAGAAGGAATGAATGGAGTTCAGTAATAGCTATCTGGAAAGTGAACTGCAGAATACTCATTTCCCAGACCTCTTCTCTTACCCTTTAAAGAAAAATCAGGTGTTTGTTTTTTAGGTCTGCCACACACTCCTCAGTGGGTTGGATTCCGTTATCTGCCTGCGTCTGGTGTTAGCGGGTTCCAGTGTTTGCCACATCCCCCTCCTGCCAGTAGTCCCTTCCCCTGGGAGAGCTGAGGTTTGTTCTTCTAGCAGCATCTGACACCACAGACCATCAGTGGCCTGGGTCTTCTTCTGGCAGACTGTACACAAATTGCTTGTGCTGGAGAGGCAGAATCATCAGAATGGAATCCAAACAGTGCTTCTTCTTCAGAGCTCTGCCCGGACTCCAGTGCCCTTGTTTTGGTACAAGGCCCCTGAATGAATTGTTGCCATCAGTATGCTGAGGACACCCCTCTGTTATCTGTCACTCACTAAGCTTCCAGGAGTGAGACAGGATGCGGGACCAGATGGACCACTGGTATGATCCAGTGGGGCTCTCCTTGTATTCCTTTTTGTTTATTGGTGGGTTGGAGGCATTTGCTGGGCACACTAGGTTTGGGTGCTGTCAGGGAGGGTCCGGTTGAATTTTAATATCTCTCTCTCTCTCTCTCTCTCTCTCTCTCTCTCTCTCTCTCTCAATATTTGCAGATGGAATCTGGTGGGACTGTTCTGAGCACAAACTGGTCTGATGTGGGTAAAAGGAAAGTAGAAGTCAATCCTCCAGATGACATGGAGTGGAAGAAGTTCTGACCTGTTCCTGTGCCACCCACATGCATTGTGTGTGAACAGAACATCCTTGGGGCTGAAGCAGTGAATATTTTTATTTTATTTTTGGGAGGATTGTTGCCGTCTTCATATGTTCTACACGCTTTAGGAATTCCTTAATCTGCAGGTTTAAAAGGTGCGATCAGGAAGCTAAAGAGCTGAAGTTTGTTGCCACTCCCGTGCACGAAGGGGCTTTTTTGTGATATCCCAAACCCCAGGTCCTAACACCCATTTTTTTTTCCTGCTGGGCTGGTTAGTTGTGCATTCAAGGGACTCTTCAAAACCTTCAGTGAACGACTTAGGATTGTTGCCTTATTAACTGCACACTATGTCTGTTAAATTATTTGCTCTAGTGACTTCGGGGTCAATGCACTTCTCAGCTACAGTGTTAAGATTGTTCTAATTCTGTGTACAAATAAAACTGTAAAGAGAGAGCTTTTCCCACAAAGTCAGCCTCATTCTGATTCGATCAAACAGAAACAGTTGTGGAAAGCAGATGGTCGCTTCCAGAACTGCCCTTCCTGCGGGCGTGCCTTTTGCATGGCAAAAAAGAGAACCAGTTTTTATTCTCAGTATCACTATTCAATTTCAGTGAAAGTATTTTCTGTAAAAACATATCAGAAACAAGCAGATTCAGAATGTAGCAGGAGAAGAGGCTGCTCAAAATAAACACACCCCAATCTTTGCAGGCGTGATCCAGTTATTTCTCAGAGGACCCTCAGATTGAATAAAGGTTATTTTCTTTAACAGATTTTGTCTGTTTTTGCAACTAATTAGCAGACTTTACTGACTTGGCTGCGGGTCACAGTTTTGTTACCCCGTTTTCTAACAGTCTGAACTTATGTGGCTGACAGAGCAATCTCACAGCAAGTTAGTATCCTTTGAAGATGATGGGTGGAACTCTGTTTCAGAGGCCCTTGTCCGTTTTAGGGGCAACCAGCAACTTTGTTAAAGCCAGCCTGTGGTCTGATGGATAGTATGCTGAATGAAAGCTGTGATCCCCGTGCACGGTGTGCTCAGGCGGGATTGTGGCGGCGTGAGGGGGGGGCGCAGCTGTTCTGCGAGCTCAGAATATCTCTGGGGTGTGAGCAGAGCTTTGTGCTTCCAGCCTCAGGCCTGAAGCTTCCGCTCATCCAAGGTTGGCTCATCTTGGACTTTTGCACCTTCGTACACTTGAAAATCTCCATCCAGTACACATCAGTTTCTTCAGCAGCTCTGTCATAGAGGTGCAAAATCACCTTTATCCTCACCACATTTCCACGACAACAAATTTCACTTTAAAGGCTATGCCTCAGTGAATTTGCGAACCTTCAAGGTGCCACACAGCTTCAGTGATGTCTGCCGCAGACTACCACAGGGGCTCATCTGGAACCTTCCCAAGAGCATTTAATACCTTAGATAAAGAATGTTTTCCAAAAAGGGCATCCAGTTGTTGTTTTTTTAAAGCTGCTAGACACTGCTGTTTCTTATATAATTTTTTAATTTCTTCTCACGTAGTTGTTAGACTGGATTATGTCAGTCTTACTGAGTAACTGTTTTTGTGCCTTAATTGAAACGATTGAAACCATAATAGCAACACGCAAGCTGTGATCTGATCTGATTATTTTCTGTCACTTTCTGATCCTCACCTGCCGTGGCTGTTTCCATGGGCTGGGCAGTGGGATTATTCTTGCGATCAACGTGATGAAAAACCAGACACGGCCAGGCTGAGTCTTTTTAACTCCACCCCATATGTTCAATGCTGCTAGTAGTGGTTAAGTGCGCGGACTCTAATCTGGGAGAGCCAGGTTTGATTCCCCACTCCTCCACTTGCACCTGCTGGATGACCTTGGGCAAGCCATAGTTCTGTCAGAGCTGTTCTTGAAAAAGAGCAGTTTGTGTCAGAGCTCTCTCAGCCCCACCTCCCTCACAGGGTGTCTGTTGTGGGGAGGGGAAGGGAAAGGAGATTGTGAGCCCCTCTGAGTCTCCTTTGGGTAGTGAAGGGCGGGGTATAAATCCAATCTCTTCTCTTCTTCTTCTTCTTCTATACAGAGCTTTTCCCCCTACCCAGACTGATTTGTTAAAATAAACTATTTTAAGGGGACTTGACTATCTCCTTGTCTTGCCTTTAAGCCTTGTGTATGTTGGTTTGGACTCTTCAGGACCAACATGGTACAAAATTGGGTGTGTCAGGAGGCTGTCAGCCGGGGGTCCCCAGCCCCTCTCAGCCTGCAGGCACCACAGTGTGGTGGGCACAGCTGCAAAATGGCTGCCACAGAAGGCAGAGCCAGCCACAGAATGGCTGCCGTTGCGTCCCTTCAGTCCCGCCGTGCAGAGCCTGGTGCTGTGGGGGTGGCAGGCGGCTCCCATCGCAATGTTTTAAAACGTCTGCACAGCTAGTCAGAAGCTTTGCTAGGCCCGAGTCCCAACTACCCTGCCTACGTTCTCAGAACCCTTGGCAGGGTCCATGGTGCCCGCAAGCAGTGTGTGGTGGGCCACTTCTGTAAGTTAAAGAAGAGCAAATACTGGTTTTTCTGCCCAAAAGTGTCTCTATTATTGAAGAACATCATGATGAGTCTGTGAGGTTGGGGAAGCCCCACCATGGAGTTTGTGTTGCCAACAAAATAAATAAATCTGAAAAGTTCTAGAACTCCAGCCACGAAAAGGAGTTTTGTGTCTCTGTGGGGAGGGGCCAGCCCAGTCCCTCGTGGGTCTTTTGTGACCTCTCTGCAGCTGGCAGCTCTGTTGGTTCTCTCCAGAGGGAATCTCGTGTTCAGCCCTAAGCCAGTTGGCACTGAAAAGGAGTCAGCCTAGTGTTCGAACTGCAGTCCCCCGTGTGCTCGAGGGCTTGCATTTCGGGTTGCTTGAAGGTTGTTTCCTCGTGGTGCAGCTGGCCCTTGCAATGCAGCTATTGACAGAGTGATGCAAAAAGGAGTGGTCGGAACTTTGTCACTCGGGGGGGGAGGGTCTTGGTCAGTGTTCCCTCTAAGCTGAGTTAGTGTGAACTAGCTCACAGTTTTTTAGCCTCCAGCTCACAGAGTTCTGTCTTTGCTCAGGAATGATGGCTCCAGAGCAAACTAATGTATGCAGTAGCCAAATCACTCGCTCACAACTTTAATGCCAATAGCTCACAAAGTAGAACCTTTGCTCACAAGACTCCACAGCTTAGAGGGAGCATTGGTCTTGGTCAGAGCTTTACCACACTGCTACTCGCTTCAGTCCAGATTCACATATGTCGAAAATCTGCGTTGCCTTCCATGGGTCATATGTTGCTTAAAACACAATGCAAAGTGGAGACTCACAGCCCAGAGTTCTGCAGTCTACCCACCATACCAGCCTCACTTCATTCACACCTCCAGCAGGATGGAGCCCTGGTCCCCTTCCGCCAGTGTGGCTGTTCCCAGGACCTGGCAATTCCAGCGTTGAATCTGATGACCCTCCAAACTGAGGTTCTCTCTGTGTTGCTCCTCCCACTCCTGTTCTTGAGGAGGGCCACACTATTCTCATAAGTGGATCTGTAGAATCAGAGTCATGGCATCAGCATGAATTTTATTCCAATTATTTTTCTATTGCGAGGGATGAGAGACCTAAGAACACACGAGCAGCCCTGCTGTGTCAGACCAATGGTTCAGCCGCCTTGGGCTTTACAGAAAGAGAGGATATAAGCACTTCAAATACATCTAGTTTAGCACCCGGTTTCCCGCCATGATCAACCAGATGCCCAAGGAGTCCTGCCTCCTGGGGCGCAGGAGCCAGTCCTCACAGGTGCACATCCAAAAGCACCCAGGTCTCCTGAATGTGTTCAAGCCATCATGGTTGATAGATATTGACAGGTTGGTCCCATCCCCCGTCTGATTATTAAAGTACTCTCCTGCCTTTCCTTGTGGCTCAAGGCCACTTACACCTTATAGTAACGTCACATTTTTAAGCCAACAAAATAAACCCTCCGCACAAAGGGTACCTTCAATTTATACTCCATTAAAAGCCCTGGCAAATATAATGGCCTTGCAGTGCCTCCTAAACATTTCTAGAGGTGGTGTCTGCCTCAACTCCTTCAGAGAAGTTGGACAGTGAAGGAAGCCGACAGGAAGAAAATTGATCCACTCAGCTGAACCGTTGGAGGAGAGTTTTACACATTCCATGGACCACCAAAAAGACAAATGAATGGGTTCTCGATCAATAGTACTTTGGTCACCATATGGGATAACAAGACTGACTAGAAAAGACAATAATGTGAAGAAAAGTTGAAGGCAGCAGGAAGCATCACTGAACGTGAGGTGGATGGACTCAGTCAATGAAGCCACAAAGGCCCTCTGCTTGCAAGGCCTGAGCCAGGCTGCAGAAAAGGGCAGGAGTCCAGCAGCACCTTAAAGAGTTGCAAAATTTGTGGTAGGATATGAGCTTCCCTGAGTCACTGCTCACTTCTTCAGGCATCCAAACTTAGCCGTGACTCACAACGGCTCCTGCCCTGCCACAACTTTTCTTAAGTCTTCCAGGTGCTCCTGGACTCTGGCTCTTGTCTCCTGCTGCAGACAGACTGACACGGCTGCCCCTTCTGATCTGAGCAAACTCTCATCGATAGGATGTTTTGGAGAGTCTCCACAGGCCAGAAGTGACTTGATGGCACTTAACGCACACCCAGGGGCCCATGCCTGTGGCCATCCCTACATCCTCTGGCAGGGAGTCCTGCGTTTTAATCACTCCTTGAGTAAAAAAAGTATTCCCTTTTGTCCATCCTGAATCGATGGCCCTTCAGCTTCATTGCCCCTGACTTCTAGTGTTTGGGTTGAGGGAGGAAAGGTTCTCTTAGTCAACTCTCTCCACTCCATGTCTAATTTTATAAATCTCTATCCTGTCCCGTCCCCCCCCCACCTTAGTCATCTCTTTTCTAAACTGAAAAGTCCCAGAGACTCCTCAGCCTTTCCTCAAAGGGCAGGGGCTCCAACCCCCTCGTCCTCTTGGTCACCCTCCTCTGTACGTTTTGTGATGCGGTGATCAGAATGGCACAGGCTGTTCCAAAGGAGGCCGCACCGTACATCTAGACTGGGGCATTACAATAGTGGCGGTTTTATTTTCAATCCCTTCTCTAGTAATCCTCAGGACAGAGTTTGCCTTTTTCACTGCTGCTGCACTTCCATTGAGCTATCCTCTATGACCCGAAGGTCTCTCTACCTCCCCGTCTCAGCAAGTCCAGAGCTCATTAACTTATACTTGGAGTTGAGTGGGGGGTTTTGTTCCAGGGTACATCACTTTACACTTACCTACACTGAACTTCATTTGCCTCATTGTTGTCCACTCACCCAATTTGTGGAAATCTTCCTCAAGCTCTTCGCAGTTGGTGGCCTTGGTTTCCACCATCCTGCATATTTGTGTGTCCACCTACAGTCTTGACCACCATACTGCCTACCCCAAGTTCCAGACCATATATGAACAAATTGATGGAGAAATGGTATTTTACCCTGACCCACAAACTTCCACTTCATTGGTGTGTTTGTTGGTTCCTGAGCCCATCTTGAGATAAACATGACACCAGAGTTTTGATCCTGGACACATTCCAAGAGCCCCATTGTGGTGACTCCTTTCCATCTTTATTGGGGCATCCCTCCAAGGCCCTCTGGCTATGGTGGCTGCTAATGTGTCCCTTTTGGATGGAGAGTGTCCTGTACCTTTTGGTCTGTGACATCTGGAAACCCCCACACACACACACAATAGAAGGAGTGCGGATAAATGGTCTGTATGGCAGGCGCTCACCTTGTTGCTACCAGAAACATTACAATGATGAGACTATACAGATTACAGTACAGGAGTCAATCCAGCAATACTGCTTTACATAGACAAAAAGGGGGCAGAGTATCTCCTACTTGCTATCCTGGCAAGGGAAAACCTGGGAATCACCATTTCTCTGCTGGATGGGAGACACTTGAAATGGGGCAGCCTGGAAAGGAGCTCTCAGCTGTCTCTGGGCGTTGTCCAGCTTCAGTGCTGGGGCTGTGTGACCCTGAACACAGATTTAGCCTTGGTGGAAATGACGTCCCACTGTTTCCCACTAAGGTTCCACCGGAGCAGCTGAGAGCAAGCCTGCTTCGGAGGTCTCACGACGGGGGCGGGGGGGGAGGAATAATGAAAGAAAGGTTTACTGTAATGCTCACATATTCTTAGCATCTGGTGATCTTCCAGTCAAGTTAAATTAAATTAAGGATGTATTAGCAACTTGTCAAGTTTTCTACAATGAGCTACAATGGCTTCTGTTTTTGTCTTGGCAAACGTCCCTATAGATAAAAACAAATCCAAGCCTGTAACGAGTTCCCAGCTTCAATTAAATGTGTTTTCACCACGCGGCTTAAGGCAAAAGAATTGTGTTGATGCACACACACAGTCCGCCTGGAAACACAGTATGTGCTGCTCATATGGTTCTTCCACAAGGGGAAACCTGTCCTCATTCAGCTGTGCTTTCCATTTCATTTTCCCTCCAACCTGGATCTGATATTTCGGGCAACCAGGCAATTGTAGGTGTCTTGCTGAGGGGCACTAGAAGCTATCAGAGTCATGCCACCAGCCATCTCCTTTTTTTAAACATTTTGTGTTTTCTATTAGAACTAACAAGGCATTTAATCCTGGCGACTTGCTGTCTTTATCCATTCTTGGAAGCATCTGCATTCGGTGCTGGTGAAAATGAGCGTGCAATTGAAATCTGAAAGCTGCTCAAATAGGACTGGGCTGGCCGCTCTTGGCAGAGGAAGTGGCAAAGAGGAAATAATTCGATTCCTGTGCTGGAGCCGCTTGTGTCATTCAGATGAGCTTTCCCTGCGTCAGGGATGTCTCTGTTGCAGCCTACGTGCGGCTGACCAGCGCAAAACCATTTAATGTGAGTCTGTCATTGTGCAGTGCTAAAAATTACTTCTGTAACAGAACATGAAAATGAACAAATTTGGAATTAGGACATATGATTTCCCTCTGGTTCTCCCCGTGCATTAGATGTGTATGTGCGTAGATGAAAATTCAGGAACCAGAAAACCACAAAGGCAGCAGCGTTCCATTGTGAGAAGCTAATTCATAAGAGCGTTTTAGGGAGGAATGTACACAGTATAGACAGATCCCCACCCTAACATTTTAAAGGCCAGAGTATGAAGAAGAGGTGCCTGAGCAAACCCTTCTGAAACCCAGTTGCCTGGCAAACGGATGTCTTTCAGCATTGTCACCCTGACCCGGCTGGCCCAGTCGAAGCTGGCATCCGGATACCAGCTGCCGGGGCCCAGGGGTTCTCTGCTGTCCATCTCTCTCTCTCGTTCGCTAGAGCTCCGCTGTGCTCCCAGCTCTGCTGTGCTTCCCACTCACTGCCCAGCGCCATGGGGGAAAGGGCTGCAGGCAGAGGTGAGCATGGGCAGTGAGAGCGCTCACAAGTGGACGGGGGAAAGGCACACAGGCACTTGGGAAGCTTGTGGGTGGGGGGAAGGAAGGTGTGGGTGGGGAGCTGGTGGTGGGTAGAAGAGGGGAGGGGGTCCCTCAAAGCCTGGAAAGCAGCCCTGAGCCCAGGCTAGCCTGATCTTGTCGACTCTTGGGAGCTAAGCTGGGTCGACCCTGGTTAGTACATGGATGGGAGACCACCAAGGAAGTCCATGGACTCTATGCAGAGGCAATGGCAAACTACTTCATCTCTTGCCTTGAAAACTGCTACTGGTAGGGTTGCAAGCTTCAGGTTGGGAAATACCTGGAGATTTTGGGAGTGGAGCCTGAGGAGGGTGGGGTTTGGGGAGAGGACGGACTTCAATGGGATATAACATCAGGAGAGCCCCGCTGGGTCAGACCAGGGAGGGTCCCTCTAGTCCAGCCTCCCGTTTCACACAGGGGCCAGCCAGTCCCTCTGGAGGGCCAGCACCAGGGCAGAGAGGCCGAGGCCTTCGCCTGATAAGGACATCAGAAGAGCCCTGCTGGGTCAGACCAGGGAGGGTCCCTCTAGTCCAGCCTCCCGTTTCACACAGGGGCCAGCCAGTCCCTCTGGAGGGCCAGCACCAGGGCAGAGAGGCCGAGGCCTTCGCCTGATAAGGACATCAGAAGAGCCCTGCTGGGTCAGACCAGGGAGGGTCCCTCTAGTCCAGCCTCCCGTTTCACACAGGGGCCAGCCAGTTCGTCTGGAGGGCCAACAGCAGGGGAGAGAGGCTGAGAGCCAGTTTGGTGTAGTGGTTAAGAGCACATACTGTAATCTGCTACAATCAATATAGAATACCCTACAGATGAGCACATGAAGCCACCTTGTAGTGAAACCAGACCCTCGGTCCATCAAGGTCAGTATTGTCAACTCAGACTGGCAGCCGCTCTCCAGGGGCTCAGGGAGAGTTCGTTCACATCACCGACTGCCTAGTGAACCTGGGACCCTCTGCATGCCAAGCAGAGGCTCTACCACTGAGCCACAGCCCCCCTTCCTGGTTGAACTTGGTGGGGCAGCTAATGAAATCAGGCAGAGATGACCTTCCACAATGATAAAACACCCATTTTAAAATTGACCTTAGATAGTATATTGTCTTTTTGCAAGGAAAAAATCATTTAGTAGTTCATTTGAGTTTGAGGGAATGCCTTCCAGAAAAATGGTTGGAATTTCCTGTAAGGGCTAACTTTTAAGACTCTGGTCTTATTTCTGTTGTGTTTTTTTTTTTAATGGTTGATTGGTAACCCTTGATGTTGGCAAAGGACGATACAGGAATCTAGATAATCCAACCTCTGATGCAGAAGCCGCGGGCTTGCGTGGCCCCCCTGCCTTATGACTGAGTCTTTTCCATGCTGTGAATCCAAACCCGCATCCAAACCCCTGCTGTTCTTTTTGTAAAAGTAATTGGAATAAATTACTGCACCCAACTGTTGCCTGGTGTGTCCCAGCTGTGTCTCTTTCTCCCTCTACCTGCTTGAACAAAACGCGAATTCCTCAAAAAAAGGTATCTGCTACTGAGACCAAGTTTGCAAATTTTAAGTCAGTGTTTGACGTTTACCACTTGCAACATTTATTCAAAAAGTAGGATTTTTTAAATTATCCGCTTGCAACTTCTGACTGTGTTTTGAATGCCTTACTGCTCTCCTCCCGTAATTGACGGGTGTCTGTTCAAACCATAACAGTGATCTATCTCAAAGCTCCCCAACCCCCATGGCATCATAGCTGACAAATGGGAGAACACGGGTATCGGATTATAATCTACAATTGTAATGTACTCTGGGGCTATTCAACTGTTATGTTCCTACTCTCTACTTAACCGTCCTCTAGGACTGGCGCTTGCTAGTAATGACCTAGAACCAGGGGCGCAGGTCACAGTGCCATGACGGTGGTCCTGAAGAGCTCTTGAGCGTCACCATTCAACAGCCCCCCCCCCCCAGGTCTGGCTTCTGGCCACACAGAGCTTGTTCTCTGGTCTACCTCCTCCCCTCCCTGGCAACTCCCTGGCAAAAATGAGCTGTAATTGGTTCCTAACAGCTTCATAATGACTTGGGGGGTTCTTTGTGAATAACAACAGAGAGCAGCTTCACTTAAGATTTTATTTGTCAAGCACTACGTGATTGAAAGGCTCTGCCAAAAGCGGAGCGCCTCTAATTGGGCCCCACAACTGTGTCAAAACAGAAGGTTTTCTAAAGAGAGGCTGGACGTCAATTTCTAAGCAAGCTTTTATGTGGTGAGACTTAATTCATAAACAAAAAGGGTAATTCTGTTTGAGACTTAAGACATTCTTTTTTTCTTTTTCTTTTTCCAGCAGGGTTGAAGAGGGGATGGTTTGCTAAAAGGTAAATTTCTAAGCTGCACGCTTGTTTTTGTAAAACTACGGAAACCCTTGAGGGTTTTAATTGATTTACATCTACAAGGGCTGACGTTCAGTTTCTGAAACATACGGGGGAGGGGGGAGCTGCGTAGTGATTCTTTGGCTGTGGTCTCAGGTGCTCCCTCCCGTCACAGGGCTACTTCATACAACCCCCAAGATGCGGGCAACCCACCAGCTGCAGGGCATGATAAGGCGGCATGCGGAGCGGCACCCTTGGTAATTGTAAGGCCAGGGGTAGTAGCCCAGGAGAGGTTCGCAGATCCGCTGGCAATGGGTGTAGCTCCGCCTGCACTCGATACAGCAGACTCCTTCGTGGTCTAGCCGTGGGTCAAAGGTCATCCCTTCACCTTCTAGCTGCTGAAATTTAAAACATAACAGATGCTGGTTTAGATGGCCCAACATTTGCACTCTCTCAGTTCTTGCAAAAAACAAACAAACAAGACTGTTGTCACACTCTAGCACAGAATTAGGGGCTCGCGAATTGAATGGGAACGTCCATTAAAAATTGTTAAGTAACATACAGAGAACAACTTAAGGATACCTTGTCCAGCCCTGACCTGAATGACCCAGGCAACCTGATCTTACCCAGTCTCAGAAGCTAAGCAGGGTCTGCCCTAGAATCATAGAGTTGGAAGGGACCTCCAGGTCATCTAGTCCAACACTCTGCACAATGCAGGAAATACACAAATACCTCCCCCCACACCCCCAGTGGCCGCTGTTCCACACCCAGAAGGTGACAAAAAACCTCCAGGATCTCCATCCAAATTGGCCTGGAGAAAAATTGCTCCCTGACCCCAAAGTGATGATTGGCATTTCCCTGGGCGTGTAAGAAAGGGCCACAAGAACTAAGCACTGAGGCAACCCTTCCTGCCCTCCCTCTCATGTGCTGTCTAAGTTCACACAATCAGCAGTGCTGTCAGATGGCCATCGAGCCTCTGTTTGAAAACCTCCAAAGAAGGAGAGTCCACCACCTCCTGAGGAAGCCGGTTCCACTGAGGAACCGCTCTATATGTTGTAGGTATGTAGGGCTATCTTTCGGCTATGCTCCTGCAGAGTGCAGGGGGTTGGACTAGACGACCTGCAAGGTCCCTTCCGACTCTAACATTCTATTCTATTCTATTCTATTCTATTCTATTCTATTCTATTCTATTCTATTCTATTCTATTCTATTCTATTCTATTCTATTCTATTCTATTCTATTCTATTCTATTCTATTCTATTCTATTCTATTCTATTCTATTCTATTCTATTCTATTCTATTCTATTCTATTCTATTCTATTCTATTCTATTCTATTCTATTCTATTCTATTCTATTCTATTCTATTCTATTCTATTCTATTCTATTCTATTCTGTGCTTGAAGAGGGACATCATATCACCTCTCACTCATCTCCTCTACAGGCTAAACAGACCCAGTTCCTTCAACCTTTCCTCATAGGACTTGGTCTCCAGACCCCTCACCATCTTTGTTGCCCTCCTCTGGACATGTTCCAGCTTGTCTATATTCTTCTTAAATTGTGGTGCCCCAAACTGAACACACTACTCTAGGTGAGCTCTAAACAGAGCAGAGCAAAGTGATCCTATCACTTCATGTCATCTGGACACTATACATCTTCGACATGGTCTCTGTGCTTCACACCCATCGGATACAGTGCGCCTGCGCTGGATCGATCGGCACTGTAGCAAGCTCTTAACGGATTTTCGCGCCCAGACCTCAGGCATGTGCAGGAACCCCACCACGCATGCCCAGAGGGGTGGACGCGGACATCCCACCAGTTCCTTCAAACCGCCGCACTTGAAGCACCTTCCTTTTGTCGGTCTGATTGGTAGCTATTTTTCCTCAGAGGCTCTTCGGATTTCTCTTCAGTTTTCTTTATTTTTTGCTTTTACCTTGATTTATTTGTTGTTCTCTTTAAAAAAAAAAAAAAAGGACTTTATTTAGTTGAGGGGGACGTTTTTCGTTTACCTCAGTTTGGCCTTCGCCCCCCCCAACCTCTTTTTCTTCTATATTTGTTTATTTTATGGAGAAGAAGTGGGGCTTTTTCAATCGGTGCAAGGGTTGCGGCAGTAAGCTCGCTCCACCTGACGGCCACACCCTTTGCATTTTTTGTCTTGGCAAGATGCACCGACCAGAGTCCTGTCGACACTGTGCCAAGTTTTCTAATCACATAAAAAACAGTGGCGCGTCTCCGAGTAGCGCTACTGGAGTCGGCGCTAAATCCCGCTTCAGCCATGGATTCAGAAGTGCCGGTAAGACCATTGACATGGACGGCTCTGGTATCAAAGCCCTTGTCCGACATCGTCCAATCGACATCGAAGCCTCCAGCACCGACGGCACAGTTCACTCCCGTGAAAAAGAAGCTGAAATCGGGCAAGGAGCACGTCTGCCAAAAAGGGCTCCTCTAAGGCCCTAAAGGTGACAAAATCTGGAAAAGTTGTGGGTCCTGCACCGGGTAATGCCCCTAAGGTGCCCCCCCACTCCAATGGCAGTATCGGCATCGGACGCTCCAGTCACTCCACCGATACTGACCATCCAGCGAATGGACTCTCCCATACACCAACTCGACCATGACACGCTGGTTGATATGCGTCCTTTCTCCGACATCGATAAGGTTGAGATCCTCAGTCATCCCCTGGGCACGGATCGCACATACCACTGCCAAGACAAGTCTCCCCCATCCTGGTGAGTACTTGAATGGGAGACCACCAAGGAAGCCCAGGATTGCCACACAGAGGCAGGCAGCGGCAAATCACCTCTGAATGTCTCTTGCCTTGAAAACTCTACAGCAGGGGTGTCAAAAATATGGCCCAGGGGCCAGAACTGGCCCGTCTAGGTCTGCGAGCAAGGAAGAGGAGGGTGGCGGCAGCAGCAGAAAGAGCATTAAAAAGACCTGCTAGAGGGCCCACCCCCCCTTCTTTCACTTGGGCCAGGCTGTGGACATGTGGCAACTACCCCCTCCTTCTCCTGTCAGAGATGGGAGGGGTGTCGCCTCCCCATCAGCGCATGTGCGTGCTGGGCCCCTGCCCCTTTACTTCAGCAGAAGCCGTCTCCTTCGCCACTGTTACCGCCACCTTCTCGTCCTCCTGTTTGCCTCTCTCTCTCTTTCTCTGTCCCGATGCTGGAGAAGAGGCCTTTTGAGAGGAGGGAAGGAAGGGGGGGGGAGTCATTATACGTGAAGGTGGTGGTGGTGGAGAGCGGCTGGTGGAAACCGATGTTGGGAGAAGTGCAGGAGTGGGGAATGCCAGAGGGTGTCCGGGAGGGAGGGGTATGAGGGACTGGCGGGAGGAGGGGCACGGAAGGGAAGGGCTGAGGTGTGTGCAATGAGCGGGGAGGAGAAATATAGCTGTTTGGGGGAAAGGGGAGGTACCGAGTGTGTTCGGGAGGGGTGGCAGGCAAGGGCAGGGGAGTATTTGGAGGCTAAGATAAATCAGGAGTCTTGAGCCACCTTAAAAGACTTAATGATCTTTTGTTGCGTCGTTTTTATTTTCTAGACATCTGGACCTTGCTTTTCTCCCCAGCTGGGGATCCAAAGGGATTTACAAATCTCGTTCTCCCCATCTATGTTTTTGTTCTCACCTTAAATGGTAGAGCGTCCCCTGCAACATGTTGTGCGCGATGACGTCACTTCCGGATGACATTGTCGCGGTGTTTACGCTTTGCACACACACCAAGGAGATCCCATAGAAGGACCGGGACCCCCCTGCCGGCATAACGGTAAGACCGGGCAACCCTGGTGGTCCGTGGGAGCAGACGTGAGATTGGGGGTGGGGGGTGGATTGGTGTGGAGGAATATCACAGAGGTGGTGGGAGAAGAGGGCTGATTTAGGAGTTCTGGCCATTGACAGGTGTCTGGTGGTGAATCCGTGGAGGGTTCGTTTTTTGTGGTGGGCTGGGCAAGTGCTGAGGGCGGTGGCTCCAGTTCCTTGGAGAGTTTATATCTATAAGCGGGGAAGAAACCCTGCTTCACACACAAAAATGCTTCCAGGGTTGCAGAGAAAAAAGCTGCTGATCTAGTGTAAGGGGGAAGTGTATTTTCAGAGAGGGACGGGGGGGGGGCTGGGATTACTTGTGGGGGGGATGGACAGGAAGAGTTTCTCTAAGGTGGGAGTCCTGCTCAAGGTGGATTACACACAGCGAATCAGTGCAGCTGATAAAATGGGACATTGACACTGCTCCCCACCTGCCAATGAAATGATACCTCGAATCGCAGGTAGGTGGGGGAGCAGTGTGATGCTGTGCTGAAGGATAAGATTTCCGAAGTTGGCATTGGCAAATTTTACCAGTTTTTGGGTCTGAATTACCCCCAATTTAAGGTTTATGCTTCTAAAATTGTATGTTTGGGACAACATATGTCTGTGAATAGCTCTTTTCTGTAATAAACTTTAATAAATCAAAAGTATGTTTCCAGCTTACAGATATACACCTAAACAGGATACTCAAGATTGCTACAGCACAGAAATTGACTCCAGTTTTTGTTGCAATAATTCAGAGCAAAAAGTGTCAGTTATCAAAGACTGTTAAATAAAGGAAATACTCTAAGAGTACTAATGTTTTAAACATGTTTGTGTTTTGAGTAAAAAATAATGTTAAATGGAAATGTCCAAGCCCCACTAGGGGTCCATGACTTCCAGGCCTGCACGCACACACACAAAATACTCAAAATAATAATAATAATAATAATAATAATAATAATAATAATAATAATACAGTTTGCCTGTGTCCTTTATAAAGTTTATATCTCAGTGGTACCTGGCAATACATTTTATGGCACACATGGCCTGGCCTGACAAAGTGACGATTATGTCAGATCCAGCCCTCGTAGCCAAGGAGTCGGACACCTCTGCAGGGCTGCCGTAAGTCAGCTGTGACTTGAGGGTAATATCCACCCCACCCCCACCTTGTCTAAACATCTGAAACCCTTACAAAAAGGGCCAATGTGCAAAGGCAAGCTACAAGAACAGGGGGGAAAGCTCAGTGATAATTTACAAAATAGACATAAAATATGATGGGGTGCTTGTGAATGTAGACGCAAACATACAAAAATACAAGAAGTAATTAAAGATCCATGAAAACTAAGGGATGACTTAACTTTTGACCCTGTGCCACTGCCTATTTAAAGAAGGCAAACAGATCAGAGATAAAGGAGTTGGTGGGGGTGGGGGTGGCAGAGCAAAAGCAGCTGGTTTCGATGAAGCTTTAGAAAAGATTCGGAAGAGTCACTGTGGCCAGAGCAGTGGGAGGGCGTTCATCCTTTATTTCGGACAACACGGAGATGACTGGTTTGTTAGTTTCCATTCCAGATGGAGAAGCTCTATCCAGTCAGTAAAAACAAGACCTGGAGCTGACTGTGGTTCAG